TCTTCTTTGAGTTTGTAAACTCATATTTCGAAAGCGATATGAATCGGATATGTTATGAATTAAATAGCATTGTTATTGCATAAAAGCTCGGATCGAGCATTTACTACCTGTTGATTATTTGAAATGGCATGGTAAGGCATTTCTGAAAAAGGCTTATATATCGATTATCGTGAAATGGATTATGAAATGATTTGGGAAAACTATTGTAATTTATGAAATGGATTATGCAAAGGTTTTGGAACCACATTATGATTTATGAAATGATTTAAGAAATGGTTTGAGAAATGGCGGATGAGCCGTGTTACGAGAAAGTTATTTGTTTGGTTTGTGGAATGTATTCTGGATTGGATTTCTTATATTGGATGATGATTGTTTGATGCTCAGTATCGCTGTGAGCCCAATGAGAGGCTTTGGGGGTATGCATACCGAGTTTAGGATATCCTTCTGGGCCGAGCCACCGGCTTTGTAGGTGGAGACCTTGCCAAGGGGGAATCTTGGTAGCCTTGTCACAAGGCTTTGTGTCGTGACCATGGTTAGATATTGAGCAATAGATTGGTCGATGGAATGGACCATCGACGTGTGATGTTATATGAGATTTATCAATGGAATAGACCATTGATGTGTGATTTTGAGATTAGTCAATGGAATGGACCATTGATGTGGTTTTTATAGAGATTGATCAATGGACTTGACCATTGATAGTTTGAATTGTGATGATAGATTTAAACATGTATTTGGGACTTGTATAAAGCTTTGATGAAATAAAACAACTCGTATTTGATTGATATATATATATATATATATATATATATATATATTATATCTTTGGTTTGAAGTATGAGTTTCTGGTATGACTTTATGTATACATGTATAGTGGTTGCTCGATCTGCTTAGAAGAGATACGCACTGCTTACTGAGCTGTGGTTGCTCACCCCCCCTCTTTTCCCAACCTTTCAGGTTCTTTGTTTAGCAGCCAATAGAACGAGAGCAATGTCATTGGGACTCTTGGGTAGTTTGAGGCTGCGTCCTTTAGGCGAAAGGACGGCCGTGTCATTCCCCATCTTGGTAGGTTTCGGGGTGTGACAGTAAATATATCATATAGGTACAAATTTAGAATTGTTTGTGTCACGAAAAATGTTTATGGTAAATATATCACGGTGCTTGTAATTGGAGGCTTTTAATGGCTTTTCCCCTAGATCAAACAAGATGATTGAGCTTTATTCTACTTTATCGTTAGTAATATGTCTAATTAATTTAAGAAAGGTGAAAGAATTGAGTTTTGTGATAACATGACTCAGCCATTTAACTGCACTCTACCTAACTTTCCTATCATTGATAGATATGTATATATATTCATAGTTTTGGTCACAAATGACACATAATAGCTGAATTTTCTTAGCACTCGTTTGTTTGTGTTTCTTAAAACTCAAAAACAATGTTTACTTTTTTGTTAAAATTCAAAATATTATTCAAATACAAAATATATACATAATTTGGTTTTACAAATAACACACGATAAAATAAAATGAAAGAAGGTAATCATGATGAATAAAGTTAACGGAGTTTTCTTAGGACTTATTTGCTTTTTAAAATGCAAAAACTAAATTTTACAATGTTATTTAAATATTAAAATATTTTGAAAAAATTTACGAATAAATTCCATATCAAGATTTAACGGTTGTGAAAATTTGACAAGCATCAACAAAAAAAAACTGTAAAAACTTGTTCAAGACTAGATTAGATTAAATATATATTATATATTATTTATGCTTTTTAAAATGCAAAAACTAAATTTTAAAATGTTTTTCGAATATTAAAGGATTTTGAAAGATTAAGCATAAATTAAATATTAATATTTAAGTGTTGTGAAAATTTCATATGTTTTAAGCCAAATAAAGGCCTAATTCCCTAAAAAACCCCCAACTTTAGGTTAAGTCCAAAATCTGCCATGAATATTTTTTTATCTAAAAAAAAATCCCAAACTTTAGGTTCAGTGCCAAATCTGCCCCGAACTTTTTTTGTCTTGGAAAAAATCCTAAACTTTAAGTCCAGTCCCAAATCTGCCCCGAATTTTGTTTTGTGTAAAAAAATCACCAAAATTCAATTTATTTTAAAAAATATACCCCCATGATCCGGTCTCAACTTGACGTGGCACTTCCACGTCGATAACAAATCCATATCAACAAAGTAATGGGGCTTTTTTTTAGACAAAAAAAAGTTCGGAGTAAATTTGGACCGAACCTCGGTTTTTTTAAAATTAAAAAAAGTTTTTTGGGGTGGATTTGTTATCGTCCCTAACTTTCATATCCCAAAATGGTTTTATTTTGGAAAATTTTAACAATTTTTATTTGGTTTAATTTGTTATCGAAGTGAAAATGCGACGTCGGTCTATACCTATCGTCCCATTATTTTGCTGATGAGGATTTGTTATCAACATAAAAGTGCCCCATTAAGTTGGGACTGGATCATGGGGGTATATTTTTGAAAATAAATTGAAATTTGCTGATTTTTTTTACATAAAACAAAATTCGGGACAGATTTGGGACTGAACTTAAAGTTTGAGATTGGATCACAGGGGTATATTTTTGAAAATAAATTGAAATTTGCTGATTTTTTTTACATAAAATAAAATTCGGGGCAGATTTGGGACTGAACTTAAAGTTTGGGATTGGATCACATCGGTATATTTTTGAAAATAAATTGAAATTTGCTGATTTTTTTTTTACATAAAACAAAATTCGGGGCAGATTTGGGACTGAACTTAAAGTTTGGGGTTTTTTCTTAGACAAAAAAAAGTTCGGGATAGATTTAGGACTTGACCTAAAGTTTGGAATTTTTTCTGAGATAAAAAAAAGTTCGGAATAAATTTGGGACTTGACCTAAAATTTGAGATTTTTTTAAGGAATTCACCTGCCAAATAAATAAAAAAAAACTGGTTCAAGACAAGATTAAATTATATATATGTAGATATTTTGTTAAGGACTGTGAGAACGCAAAGCATGAAATTCACCACAGGTGGTATGATATCATTGTCCTACGATTTGATGTGTCTTCTTTTTCCATTTGTCCTTTTTTTTCCTTACTTTTCTCCTTTTTTTTTTCCAAAGGCAACCATGAAAAGGGTAAAAAGATCACGTGTTTGGTAAAGCAAGGCAAAACAAAAAACAGCGCAAAAGCATCGTTCAGGTGGGATGCAATTGGACTTTCGGGGTGTGGGGGTGGAGATTTCGTGGGTACGTGGCAAATTTGGATTGGACAACTGCACAAAGATAGATAGGACGAGTTGGGTCCCACGGTTATGCACGACTAAGGCCGCCTTAAATAGGGTCGTGTGTATGAAGTCGTACTGCCATCTGCAGCTTGAGGAAAGCACAATAATTGCTACGCGATGGACATGGCCAAAAGGCAAGTGAACTCTACCATGGTCACCTAGTAACCCCACTATTTTCTTTTTCTTATTTTCTTGCTTGCGTCACCGTTGTCTTCTTCTTCCTGCTTTGCGTTCTTAGAGAGAGAGAGAGAGAGAGAGAGAGAGAGACTTGGCGCTTTTGAAACTCTAGATATTACGGGAAACTTAACTTAACATAGGTGCCCTGCCTCAATCATTGTACAAAAACACTCGTAAAGATAATATATAAATGTATAATAACATTAGACAATAAAAATTATTTAAATGATAAATACTGACTGCAGAACTTCTCGTGTCATCGATATATATATATATATGAAATGCAAGTTGATATTGATATATTATTTTAGAAACATTGTATTAGATTAAATAAGACGACAAAAATTTTTCTACTGTATTATAAAGTAATACGTTTGAATTTTGTACTAATGAGGCTGAATTTTGTAAAGAATTTTGTTATAAGAAAGCAGGATTGTGCAAGACATGCAAGACTCCAAGACTCCAACTTTGATGTAATATGATCGATCTCTCTCTCTCTCTCAAACCCCTCGAGTCGTTTCATGTCCACACGCATCATGTGTTCCACTCATGCATAGTTAGATTCTTGACTGTTGTTGATTCTTATAACTTACGATATCTAAAACATGATTGATAAAAGTATTCGAGATGATATGGCTAATTCTATGATAACAATCAGTAGTACCATACGAGTCTAATTTGCTCTTCTTTTCAAGTGAAGAACGGTGAACATTTTCATTTGAATCTAGTAAAAGATATGATTGTATTAATTGTGTGGAACTTTGCAGCCTTTAATTTTTGGCGGATGAAAGGCCCCTAATGCTATGCTTGATTGGACACGGTGACAAAAACGGCTAAAGCAAGTGCTTCCAGTTCCATCATTTTGTTTTAGCATATGTGGGACCGATCTTTGGTCACTATTGGTGAACATGATCCAATAATTGTTTTAGCATATACATAGCCTCCATGATTCCTCACATCCTTGGGTAAATTAAAGTTATGCCAAGCGTGAATGTCAAAAACTAACTAATCTATTAAATCAGGAAATTTGGTTGGACCCTTAAAAAATCTCTCCGTGACTCTTAAGTCGAGCTGATATGGGTTTCTACTCTTTACCATGTAAAATGCAAGGCAGTAAAAACTTTAACTACTTAAACTACTTTGATAGAGAACAACAAGAGGATTTGGCTCAATTCGATCCGAAAGAGAAACGTAATAGAAAATCCGAATAGGATTAGAAGTCGGATATAGATCCCAGTGTCCGAATCTGCACTGACATTACTTTGCAAAGAGAGGCGAAACGTGGGCAATAAGCAGACAGTTACAGCTAGGATCATCTGACCATCCCACATCACCTAAAATTAAGGAACCTCGAGTTACCAAAATAAGTATAAATAGCTCAAAAATAATCATTTGATAGATAAAACTTGTTGATACCTAAATTTTGCCCAAAGTCGATTTCATATATATTTGAAAAAATGGAACCGGTTTTCCTCAACAAAAAAAAAGTTTCTTGCATTTAAAGCATTTTATAAGTATATACCAGAATTTTAACAAAAAGGATTAGGTTCCTTCGAATTTATTCCCCAAAGAAAAAAAGAAAAGAAGAGATAAAATGGGAACCTCTGAGAAAAAATGCACACCTTAAAGCCACACCGCCTCACTTTTTCCTCAACCACCATCATCAGCTTCAAACTCACACCCACAGACTCCGCTTTCATTCAATTCACTTCTCGCATGCATGTTGATTGTCGCCAATCACCACCGTCTCTGATCTGCCCAATCCCCTACAAACCTGCTATAGTCGTAGCTCCATCAGTATTGTCGTTCGTCGTTGCAAGCGGTGGCCACGCATTGCCGGAGCAGAATTCACATACACAAACTGTGATCCGCCGAAACTAGTGAACGCCCCCCCTCTCAACGGTGTTCTCTTCCTGCTCGTTTGAACCTGGTGCTCATGCTTGCTGGATTACTGTCGTTGATCTAATCCCGTTCACCGGTCTACTCCAGGAAGTCTACTTGGAATAGGTAAGAGACATCTATCTACTTGCTCTCTTTGTCCCTCAAACTGATGCAACAACAATAATATTTTGGTTCTTAAACTAATTTCATGCCTATCTATAATCCCAATTCAAGTTGATGTCAAGTTTAACAAAAAATAATTGTTATTTTAATTTTTGTTAGATAGTAATATTAGGACATTAAGATTAATTTTTAATCTCTCTATCATTATTTTTTTGCCAAAACACACACTAACGTGAAATGGTTTTACACGATTAACAATCCCGAGATCAAAGTACTCAGTTTAAAATGGAACCAGCATTTTTATCCAGCTAACAAAGTAATTATTTTACACGGTGAATGTATTGGAATTTTAGTCCATGAAATTAGGTAAGCAACAATAAATATTGTAGGAGGATAGCTTCATTCCTGTTTAGCAGAGATTCATGAGAAAGTCACTATTGCCATAATTTCGCGGTGCCAAACCAAATAAATGACTTTTGTTGTGTCTTTAAATATTCACTCTCATAATAAAAAGTCCTTATTATGTAGATATAGTGGATTTACCATCAACCACAAGAGGTAAGATGAATTAAAAAGGTGTTTGAGATTTAGTATCTTTTAAGGTATGCTAGTGTAATCAATCGAGTCAAGTCAATACGGTTGCAATTCAAACTTCATGTGAAGTAGTTCCTGTTGAAGCCACAAGGGTGTTGCATGTGGACGACTTGTTTTCATCGTGCGAAAACCAATGATAGTTTAGTGCAAGAAAACTAATCCATTTATTTTCTTTCAAGACAAAGAAAACTGTCAGTTATTTGCGATAAAGAATTAAATTGTGAATTATGAAAATCAAAATTGTGCTTGTTAGAAAAAGAACACACATAGACTCGTGTTTTGTTAAAAAAAAAGGTATTTCTACATCAGAAATTTTTTTGAGATTGTTCATCTTTTATAATGCGCATTAATGTCATATCAAGCAGACTTCGCTTATTGTTCAACCCTAAAAAGCCCAGGTTGTCATTTTGTATTGCTCACTCCTTAAAGTGACCACTCCTTAAAGTGAGTAACTATCATATATTTATTGACTCCCCCTTCTAGGTTCTAATTCGCACCAAAGAATCTTTAGTCGGTCGTTTTTAAATTTAATTTTTGCGGGCGAAAAAAAAAATTATGATATAGAATCAATAGGTAACTTCATTATTTCTGCTCTATATTTTTTTTCTTTTACCTTTGAGAGAGAAAGAGAGAAGGGGGACCAATAATGCATGTAATCGGCAAATTAAGGGTTTAGTACATGTTTTAGAAATAATTCATAAAAAGAAGTGTGAATGAAAAGTAAATGTTTATCATCGGGCATGCCCACTACGAGAAAGTAAAAGATATGATATAGAGAACTGAGAGGGGAAAAAATAAAATACAAAGTCACCACCTAAAAGAAGTGAAATGCTCACACCAGAAAAAAATCATATTGTTAAGCACATAAATGTGGCTCCAACATCCTTGCGAATTTTTTAATATGATGTTATCAAATCGTGGAAAACTCGTCATTTTTTTCTTAATCGCAAATCAGTAAAACACGAAAAGAAAAGAGGAACATTTGCTTTCACCCAAGGTAAATAGGAAAAACATTGCTGGTAGCGACCTTCTTGTTTGTTCTTCACACTGATCAGAATCATCAGATCACCATTGCCTATGATGGAGAGGACATGATTTCTAGTTGAAATGCACATCTTTCTGAACAATTCCAAATATTAAACGTTTAAAGAACGATTCCAGAGAGGATGCCTTTCTCTGCTGCACATAAAGATCCAATATAAACAAATGAAAAGGCTGGATGGAGAGCACATGGTTTCTGAACGATTCCGAATACAATGTATAATAAACGAGTCTTCCTAGGCAGGTTTCTGTCGATTAATCCAATGTTAAAAGTTAATTTGACTGGGAGCAATGCAATGCATTTATTTTCTTTCCAATGGACCTCACCTTCTAGTCAAGCCAATATTGTTGGGTTGTGTCTGCTCTATGGACAAGAAGAGTATGGCTAATCTTTATCTCTAGATGCGAGCCCCCAAGTCAAGGCCAATCTTCGATGGAGAGCACATGAGTTATGGGTGGAGAGCATGTGCTTTCTGAATGATTACGAATCCTAAAATATTTAATAAAGAAAAGATACCTTCCTGCTGCACAAAAAGATGTCGATAAACAGATGAAAAGGCTGGATGAAGAGCACATGCTTTCTGGGTGGAGAGCACGTGCTTTCTGAAAGATTCTGCTCATTGGTCGCATATTTCGTATGCAATCAATGTAGGCTTTAAGTGGCAGTTACAGTGCTGAAATTCACAGCAAGATGGGTAGCAATGATCTGCCAAAGGGTGATGAGGTAATAGTTTGATGATCGAGAATCGCTTGATAGGAGATCATGGTCCTTTGAACACAATTTTCCTGTTAGTTATTGTGATGTGCAAAGGATAATTTTCAGTAGGTTATATAATGTTAGTTGGTGATTTTTGACTCTTCAATACTTGCAGAGAAAAATAAAGCAACTTGCTTAGTGGATTAGTTGGTGTGCTTGACCCTTTCTCTTGTTTAGCCCAAAGCATGTGTTTTGGTTTCCTTATTGAGCACATATGCACCAATAAAGCATAAAATAAAGACATTGAAATCATCTGAAAATATACAGATGCCAAGAAAGCCCACAAAACACTTGTAAGCAATTAAGTTTTTGACGAAAATATGCTTGCCCTCTAAATTGGTCATATATAGAAAAATCACCTTTTATCCTCTATTTTAAGTGCCCACAGAAAAGGTCCTCTATTTCGAATGATGGTATAAAAGTCTCGATCCGAAGAAAACGGAGAACAATTGATGAAACAAGCACTCATGGATTAAAAACTATTTTATTTTGATTTGTCTAACCTTTGGTGTGCATCCCTTGAAAGTCTTGGTCATTTTCTAATCTATTTGGTAAGTGAACATCTTGGGCTTCCTGGACTTCATAGTTTTCTCTCTCCATTAGCTCATTTTTACTTTGCTTCACCAAAACACCTTTGTTGTTCTCTACAGTGACCGATTCACCCATGGCCACCGGAGAGATCGTTTTGGGTTCCTTCTTGGCTTCCTTCTTTCAGGTCCTGTTCGACAAGTTGACTTCTCTCACATTGGGCTATGCACAACGGGAAGGAATCAGCACCGCCCTGCTCGAGGAGTGGAAGGAGATGTTGGTCACAATCAATGCAGTGTTGACTGATGCAGAGGACAGGCAACTCAGCGGTAACCCTCTAGTGAAGCTATGGCTAGACGATGTTAGGGACTTGGCCTATGACATGGAAGACTTGCTTGATGAGTTCGCGATCAAAGCCTCTCAGGTTGAGTCGGAGGCAGGATCCAGCACAAGCAGAGGTTTGGAGAAATGGAAGTTCTCTTTCTTTGGCCGAGATAAATCCTCCAGATCGAATCCAAACCTACGCTCGCTTGTGTCTGAAACCAAGGTACAAGAGATCAATGGTAGGTTGAAAGCGATTGTCACCAGGAAGGCTTGTCTATGCTTGAGAGAGAATGTTGTGGACAGATCTAACTACATCAACAAAAGGGATCCCACCACTTCTTTGCCGGAGCCTCAGTTTTTTGGCAGGGAGAAGGAAGAAGCACAACTACTCGAATTATTGATCAATGAGGTCGAAAATTTCAATGCCACGTTGACCATTGTCCCTATAGTTGGGATGGGTGGTGTTGGAAAGACGGCCTTGGCTCAATGGCTATATAATGATGCCAGAATATACAACTATTTCGAGATGAAAGCTTGGGTTTGCGTGTCAGATGTTTTTGATGTTCTTGACATAACAAAGACTATTTTGCGATCAATCACCGGGTTGTCTTGCGAGGGTGAAGATCTTAACAGCCTTCAAGTTAAGTTGAAGGACAATCTATCCGGAAAAAAGTTTCTTGTGGTTTTAGACGATATATGGAATGAGAAGTACGAAAAATGGACTGCCCTCTTAAAGCCATTTGAAACAGGGGCCAAGGGAAGCAAGATGATTGTCACCACTCGCAACCTTGCCGTTGTTTCCATAACAGGAGCATCTCCGTATCCTTTGAAGGAATTGTCCCTTGATAATTGTACAAGCTTATTAGCCTTTCATGCTCTTGGAGCAACAAATTTTGAGGGCCACCCGGATTTTGAAACAATAGGCAAGAAAATAGCCGAAAGATGTAAAGGTTTACCTTTGGCAGCGAAGATGTTGGGCGGAGTCCTACGTAATAAAAGGAATCCCGATGAATGGGAAGACACCTTAAATAACAAAATATGGAATCTTCCAACAGTAGAGAATGATGAGGTTCTCCCTGTTTTGAAATTGAGCTATATCCATCTTCCTTCCTATTTGAAGAGATGTTTTGCTTATTGTGCTGCATTTCCCAAGGATTACGAAATTGAGAGGGATGAGCTGGTACTCTTATGGATAGCGGAGGGCTTTTTAGATGGACAAAAAGCAAAGGAGAATAACTTGAGATTAGGACGGGATTACTTCAATGAGTTAAAATCTAGATCATTTCTTCAACAATCGAGTGTTGATGCATCTAAGTTTTCAATGCATGATCTTTTGAATGATCTAGCAAGGTCAATTGCGGGTGGGACTTGCTTTAGCTCAATGGAGTCTCAGCTGACAACTAATGAACATGATGTATCATCTATTGAAAAAACTCGTTGTGCATCATTCATCTCGTCAAGGTATGTCACATCAAAATGCATGAGAGCATATCACCGAATGAAGGTACTAAGAAGTTTAATCTTAGTGCGTGTTGGATCTAAAGGGGCCTCTTTATCTATTTCCAACAAGGTGCTACATGACTTGTTAACGGAATTGAAGTACTTGAGGGTGCTCTCAGTATGTCATTGTGACATCATAGAGGTGCCGAATTGTGTTGGTGATTTAAAACATTTGCGATATCTCAATTTCTCTTATACTAATATTAAAAGGCTACCTGAGTCAATTGTCGGCTTGTGCAAATTACAAGCTTTGATCTTACGAGGTTGTCAAAACCTTTCAAAATTGCCTCAAGAAATCACAAAGTTGGTCAGCTTACAATTTCTTGATATTAGAGATACTGGGAGTCTAAAAGAGATGCCATTGGATATCAGTAATTGGAAGAATCTTACTATCTTGTCCAAGTTTATGGTCGGACCAAAGAAAGGGTCACGGTTGGAGGAGTTAAAGAACTTGTCACATCTTCAAGGAGAATTATTTATATCAGAATTGCAAAAGGTGGAAGAAGTTAGAGATGCAGTTGATGCTAATTTGCTTCGAAAGCGAGGCCTTACCAACTTATCCTTGCATTGGGATGAACATTCAGGAAATCTCCTGAATCATGAGCGCGATGCTCAGGTGCTTAACTCTCTGCGACCTCACACTAATCTTGAAAATCTCACTATTTTGAACTATGGTAGTGCAATATTTCCATCATGGTTAGATGGTTCATCCTATTCAAAGATAGTGTCTTTGTGCTTACGAGGTTGTCCTAATGTTACATCGCTACCCCTACTTGGACAACTACCTGCTCTTAAGGAATTGTCTCTTGAAGGTCTACATGCAGTGAAAATGATAGGCTCCGAATTTTACGGAGGTAGAAGGCCTTTCTCATCCTTAACAACTTTGAAGTTGAAAGAGATGTTGGCATGGAAGGATTGGTTTCCTTACGCCGGGGGCCCAAAAGAAGAAGTCCCATTCCGCTGTCTTCAGCATCTTGTTGTCCAGAGTTGTCCTTCATTGGTCGGGACATTGCCTTGTCAACTTGATAGTCTCATAAAGCTTGAAATTCATTCATGCCCCCATTTGAATAACTCGACTAGTGAGGTTTGTCTTCCATCTCTCCGTGAGCTATACTTGGAGGATTGTAATAAGGAGATCTTAAAGAGCTTGGTCAACCTAACTTCTTTGACCATTCTCAGAATTGAAAATCTTGCCGAGCTTGTTTGCCTTGATCATGGGTTCATGAGCTGCTTGGTCAAGCTAAAAGAGCTTCATATAAGAGGGTGTGACAAGCTAAAGTACTTGTGGCAAGATGGAAATGAAATGCTTAATCTTACTTGCCTCCAGGAATTAGCCATTACAAGTTGTCGTCGATTCATATCTTTTGTGGCCGGAGAAGGACTAATAAAGCTACCCTGCAATCTTGAGAGAATGGAATTGAGGGATTGCACAAGTTTAGAAAAGCTTCCAAGCAAGATGGATACACTCAGATATTTGAAAATTTATGAGTGTCCAAAACTCGTGGGACAAACCATTCCTCCAAATGATCCCAACAGTAATAACACGATGTCTCAACTTGAATATCTTGAAATAGGTAAATGTGATGCTCTGACATCCTTTTCGTTTGTCAAGGGTAGACTTGCTGCTTTGAAGGAACTTACAATTATGGAGTGTAAGGGAGTAGAGTCGTTGAAAGAGATCACCGTGGGACAATCGCTGGAAATTTTTACGATTTACGGGTGTGAGAATCTGGAAAGCCTACCACAATACTTTCACACGTTCTCCCATCTCACTCGTTTGGACATAAGTAACTGTCTAGCATTGGAGATAGAGGACTTCCCTCCCCTTCCCATCACCTTGTCATGTTTCTGGCTCAGTAATTGTCCGAAGATAAAGTCCCTACCAAATGAGTGGCATTGTCTTACATCCCTCAGGTCGCTATGTATTATCAATTGCCAAAATATCAAATCCTTCCCCAAAGGGGATTTGCCTCCCAATTTGCGGCGGTTTGAAATTTGGGGGTGCGAGAACCTGAAGCAGCCAGTGAGAGAATGGGGCTTACACATGCTCACTTCCCTTGAGACATTTGGAATTGACGGAGCGAGCATGGGAGGGGAGGGAGAGAAGGTGAGGTTTCCTTCGGAGGAGAACGAGGAGGAGGAGGATGCGTGGAGTCTTCTCTTCCCTTCCTCTCTAACCGAACTTGGCATTTACGGGATGAAGAACTTGGAAAGACTGTCGAGCGGTCTTCGCAACGGTCTCTCCTCTCTCCAACTGTTATGGATTTACGATTGCCCGAAGTTGAGGTACTTGCCAGAGGATGGCCTCCCTCCCTCCCTCCAATATTTGTGGATAAGAGGATGCGAGATGCTGAAAGATCGATGCTCAAACCTCGGTGGCGACTATTGGCCCCTCATCCAAGACATCCCTCGCATCTTCATTGATGGCCATCGGATCCGGTGAATTGATTCGGCCATGTACGGTGGGGTTTTCTAGGGTTCGGGTGAGTTTTATGGTTTTTGGAGGCATCGATTTCCATTTCCAGATTTTTGGATGAGAACTATGGGCAATGTGGAAAGACTATCAACGGTGGAGGATGTATGATGCATGGAGTCTTCCGTTTCCTTCCTCTCTAACCTCTCTTTGGATGAGAAATATGAGTAGAAAGACTGTCAAGTGGTCATCACAGCCATCTTTTCTCTCTCAAACAGTAATATTTTCCAAGTTGCTCGAAGTTCGGGTACTCGCCAAAGGATGGCGTCCTTCCCTCCCTCAAAGTATTCCGCATAATTCAATGTGAGATTCCGAAGGATGGATCCTCTCTCGCTGGCGACTACTGGCACCTTATCCAGGATATCCCACTCGCCGTGGATCTAGTTCGGATCCAACGAGAAGATTTCTCTCCACTGTCTAAGTTTTGTTCTTCAGGTAATGATTCAGACTTCTTTCTTTCTTGCACCCTTGTCATTTAGCTGCTGCTGCTGCTCCAGGATCCATTTCCACTCCGCTTCCTCAATTCAATACTAAAAAGTTCATGTTTATCCATGGACATGCTTCACATAAATGTCCACAAACCAGCTGCTTAAGGGCCAACGTTGACATTTGGGTTGCTCTGTTTTGTTTACCAAGGAAGTACACAATGAAATGGTTATAATGCTAACGTGGTAAAGCAAGTGACTATTCCTCAAAAACAATATTATTTACATGGACTTGATCGCAGTGCCGGAATTATGATGCGTCAAATGTGCCTGTCTATATTGATTATATATCTAGAACTTTGTGTGATGGCCAAAAATTGCTTATCTTTGCACTTGGATGCCACATAAAGAATTTGTAAATGGAAATGCACTATGCTTTGCATGAGAATCATGAAAAATTGTTGCTCTTATACAGATATCATTCTGCAATTTCAGTGTTTGCTGTATTTTCTCTTCCAAATGTCTCAGGCCCTAGCTATTGAACTGAATTTTCTCGACTGTGCTTGTTTTGCAGAACATCCCACCGTCATCTGTATTGGGAAAAATCTCTCAGGAGGATCAAATGCAAACACTATTGAGGTAGGCAACTGATGTACTTATGTTCATCTTTTGCAGCTTGACAAAAGAAAAAAAAAGCTATTAATTTTGGTAGGTGCACCGATATGCTCAATTTTTTTTTTTTGGTGACATGCTCTAAATAAGATTAATCTGTACCTTGATGTCGATTATCCTTGTGTCTATTCAAGTTAAATTAAGATGCTTTCTTACTTTCAATAAGAGCTATTATAAAGATTCAAAAATAGGATCTAAAACTTTTTTTCAAGTTGGCAAATATGACAACTAAATTTTAATGAACCCTGCAGATTATAATCTATTCAAATCTGACTTTCTTGTTAAAGTTCACAATTTATCTTTCTTCTATTTAAATTCTCACACCATCTCAGAGAATATTTTCTTTTTCTTTGTTGTAAAGGAAAGGCGGAGAGGAGCAATCAAAGAGACTATGCTTTCTTGCTCTATTGAGTCATCATGAATCTGCCACGAAGTATTTTGATTTAAAATTGCAAGAAGGTTGTCATCCAATACCACTCACAACCCAGTTATCGCGGTTAGGCAAGTCTCGTCATTATATCCCCATCAAGCTGCCAGAGCTCCCATCACGGTTAATCTTCACAAAACCTAGCTCAGGTTTTCTCTACAGACCCTGCCTTTCGTCCGCCCAATCATGACTTAGCTCTCTTACACTTTTATAGGCAACACAGTCTAAGAGAGCTTTTCTAATCTGTGTAGTGACAGTTTCAGGATCAAGTGATTTTTGTTTAAAGGTTACTGCATTTCGAGCGTTCCAGATATACCAACAGGTGTAGGCAATCATTCGTAAGCGTTATCAGCCTGTTCAAGTCATTTGATCTCCTATAAGTCTCTATCACCAGTGATTAGTGGTCTCCCATACTTGTTAGTTAACATAATCATAAGAGTTTTCCAGCAAAAAAAAAATCATCAACAGAGTATCCCGGTTCATTTTTTGTTGCAGTCAATCAGGTGTGCATATAATTTTGTTCTGATCACTCTTGTAGTTGTTCATCATGCATGAAAGATAATTTTTATTCAGGAGTAATTGCTCGTCCTGTTTCAGACTTCTGGATGAGAAATATGAGGAAAGACTATCAACGGTGGAGGATGTAAGAAGAGTGGAGTACTCTATTTTCCTCGTGTCTAATTTCTCTTTGGATGAGAAATATGAGGAACGTGGAAAGATTATGAAGTGGTCTACGCAGCCATCTCTACTCTCTCAAACAGCTATCTTTTATAGGTTAGCGGTACTTGCTAGAGGATGGCTTCGCTTCCTCCTCCAAGTATTCGGCATAATGCAATGTGAAATTTTGAAAGTCGATGCTCAAAACTCAGTGGTGACTGTTGGCACCTCATCCAAGAAATCCCACTCATCGTAGTTGATCTAGTTCGGATTCAATAAGAAGATTTCTCTCCAATGTCTAATTTTTATTCTTCAGGTAATGGTTCCAACTTCTTTCTTCCTTCCACACTTGACTTTTAGCCACTGCTGCTGCTCCAGGATCCATTTCTATTACGAATCTATAACTCGATGCTTGAAAGTTCTTGTTTTTCCATGGACAAGTTTCACATAATTTGGCACAAGCCAGCTAGATATTTGGGTTGCTCTGTTTTGTTTGACAAGGAAGCACACGATGAAATGGTTATAGTGCTAACGTGGTACAGCAAGTCAACCAACCGTTGTTTCATACAAGTGACTATTCCTCAAAACAAATTATACTTACATGGACTTGCTCACACTGCTCGAATTATGATGAGTGGATGTGCTTGCTGTATTGATGATATATCTTGAACTTTGTTTGAAGCCCAAAAATAGCTTATCTTTCCACTTTGAACACCTCCAAGAAGTCCTCGAATAGTTCGGCAACCCTCCAATCAGCATGTTTAGTGGCTGAATACTGGCGGCCTTAGCCTAATCCCAAAAAAAACGTCAACACATCCATCTAATCACAGGCCTTCTTCAACATCAAATGGGTGGAATTCCACAATAAAAAAATTAAGTTTTAGCGACGAATTTTGCCACGAAAAATTTGGCAAAATTTGTCGCTAAACGAATTTGCGATGAAATTGACGACGAAAAAAAATTCGTCGCTAATAAGGCGTCGCAAAATTTAGCGACGAAATTGCGACGAAAACAAATTCGGCTCTTATTATTCGTGGCAAAATTCGTCGCTAATTTGCCACGAACTATATTCGTCGCAAAATTCGTCGCTAATTATTCGTGACAAAATTCATCGCTAATTATTCGTGACAAAATTCGTTGTTAATTTACAACGGACATTTTTTTTTTGGTCAGTAATTTGCAACGAACTTATTTGTGGCTAAATTCATTGCTAATTTAGCGACGAAAAATTTTGACTTTTGCGACGAACCTTGTTCCGGAACGAATTTACGACGAATTTTTTTTAGTTCTTTAGCAACTAACTCTGCAACGAATATTGTTTAGAGATGAAATTAGCAACGAAATTTTATTTTTGCAACGAACTTTTGTAATTTGTGATTGTATGATAAAATCATTTCTTTTATTTTTTGATTTTAAATCTAATTAACAGCAAAATTAACTTCTAGAATTTATATTTAACATTGATTAAGCACTTAATAACATCAAAATATTATAATAATATGAAAATGAATACATTCATCAACATTTTCCACAAGAATGGCTCTTTGCGCCTAGTTTATCCAACATTAGAAATCTCTACATAGCTCTGGTATGCTCCAATTCAACGCTATGAACCTGCCCAAAATTGGAAAGTACAGAAAGAAAGAGAAGTTAAAGGAGCATGCCAGGATGAGATCGAAAAGTCGAATGGACAATCCTCATAGAAACCTCGGTGGCATCAAGATCGCGTCACTCATTCCATGTCACCACCCGTCCCCTCAAAGGCCTCATACTCGTAATCCTCGTCAAGATTCTCCATTGTTTTTCCAAAGACGAAGGATTTCGTTCCCATCATCGTGAAAGGCATGAGGCCGAAAGTTCGAGCGGTTTTGATCTCCCTCACAACCTTCCTCTGCACCTCGGCGCTGATGCGAGTCTACAAAAAAAAAGGGTTTGTGCTTTTGGTAGATTGTTTTCATTGTGGGCGAGAGCATTAGGGCAAAGATATAACTAGACACAAACCTCACCTGGCCTAAATTATGCTTCTCTGTCTCTGAAAGCTCAATCAGATCTTCCGTAGCGAGTTGTTCCACCTTCGAATGGCATAGAGGCATAGAAAAACATATATCCTAATTAAAACGGACAAAACCAAATGGTCAGGCATTTTTCAAGAAAAAAGGAAGTTCAAGAAAAGGGACTAATTTGGTCAATGTGACAACTGCAACTAATTGAGCCATATCCTTCGCAATGATAGGTTGACCAATATGATAGATAAGACCTACAACGATAGAAATTCTTTCTTTTCTTTATCGAAAATAAAAGGTCATCAGACGGAAACAAAATCACAACCAACAAGTACAGATCATGATCATGTCCAATGGGCAATAAATGTAATCTTATACTGATCTCAGGATCACTTATACAACTTGGCTAATGAGCAACTTGCAATCGAGCCAGATATTTCGATAACAAGATATGTATGCATCAGCAATATCTTTATTGAATGCTAACAACAGGACAATGATGCCTCACGGGAATAAACTTCTGTTGTATAAAATAGGCTAAACAAAATAGTCTTGACCAATCCCATATATGGTTCCTGCTAGCTGAGAAAGCCCTGAAGGTGATCCCAAACTAGAGATTCAATCAAGTGACAGTACTTAGGAAATTTTGACAGAACGGAATAAGCACTATTAACAAGTAAAAGGTGCATGCAGCAACAGAAGCTAACACCAATTGCTGTGACTTACATGCTCTGAACAATGACCGCAGACCTCTTGTCGATCGGGACACGTAAGCACTGCAAGTCCTTTTGCTTCTTCCAGAGTCACCATCAGCAGTAAACACTACCACAAATTGAGAAGTGCACACTAATTCCCATGAATAAAATAGCATATTAGGGCAACAAATCAATAGACAGGATGATTATATAATGACCAGAAAGAACTAATTGATATAGTTCTTGGCGAGAAATGGCCTTTTAACAAAGTCCTGTTATTCACATGGCATAATTACTGCTTTACCTTTAGAATTGACTCTTTATTAAGTCATGAGAGATCCATCGTGTAAGATATTCGGCAGCATCGAGAGTCATGGATACTCTAGACGTTGCAGAAAGTTATAGGCGCCGTAAGGGCACAAATACCTCTTCCAATTTTTAAATATTTGAAATGTTATTATTAATACAAAACATGCTCTTCATGAGTACCAGCAAATTAATAAATACTAGCTTGCGTTTGTCATCACAAAGAGCTCTTTCAGATGCCATTGATTTGGCCTACATTAAGCCTATAAATTTTCAGGTAATTAGCTGTACAACTTCCTAATCTCGAGATACTTACATATACAGAAGCCATTAGTCCAAGATTGAAACGAAAAAATCAGAAAGAAGCATGGAAAGTACTTGCTTATACGAACGAAGAAGTAGCAAAGCTTTGCATTGCTTAGCTAATAGCAGCACTACGTCATACACATTCGTGGAAAATGACTTCGACATATATTCCAACAGAAGATAATGAGATAGTCCACAAAGTATCTGAGCATCTCAAGGAGGAGAAAATTACCGTAAAATACACTACATAATTACTGCAAAATGACTCTTCCCATGACAATTGTCGCTTCTTTAAGAAGTCCATCTCCACTAAGCAAAAAGGAGAGGATTAGTGACAAGTTCAGGGGGACACCCTCCATATCTTATATCTCATTTGACAAACCTTTCTCTGCAGCTGGTGAGGTCAGCACTGACATAAGAGAAAGTGGAAGAGTGGACTGAGGATATATCCATGAATTCAAAGCCGTAGAGCAAAAGCCCGTGGAAGCAATGTGGGTTCTTGAACAATGGCTAGTTCTTTGACCCTCAGAGCAAGCACAAAGAGATGTATGATTGGGAACACTATTGTAACTACCATTTGTAATTAACCTGTAAATCCTGGAAATAATGAAGGAAAAAAAGTTAATTGGACAACAAGAATGCATACACCAAACCCTGAGCAATATAAAAGAACTACATGAGTAAAGGAACACCATGCTTGAGCATGGTGTGTGAAAATTAATAACCTTGCCACAACTTGTGCTATTAATCAAAGTTGTCAATTTGCATGCAGATTGTAAAATAGTGTGCCACCCATTTATATGTTTTAAGAAAGTAAATATTTTGATATTCTTAGATGAGAGCAGACATTTCCAATAAAACCAAGTTTTGGTGTAAGTATATTTTTTTCCCATGTTTTTAATGCCGTTTAGAATTACATAAGAAGTCATCATGCACAGGCAGTGGAAAAATCTTCAAACCCTAATACAAGATTTAAAATAATTTTCATAATGACCCTATTGAGTAAAGACCAAAATTGAAATATCTCCAGATTAGGAACGAAATGCCCCAGGAGTCTCTAAGTAATTGTAGGCCCTCACAACACTATTAACTGCAAAAGACATTAGCAATTTACTGAAGAAGATGCTGCAATCCGCATGACGGTCTTCAAAGTGAAATCCAGAGGAGCCTTTTGGCCAACTATGTTGTATTGAGAGCAGCCCGAGTAAGTCGAGGTAGAAGTAAAATTTTCAGAACAACCATCAAATAAATGAGAAGATGGTTCTCGAGCAGCCAATCCTTTTAGAGCTTTATCCTACAAAGATAGTGGTGATATTACTGAAGGATATACCAACGGCTCAAGGGAAAACAGATGAGTGTAATTACCATATCGATATTAGCCAAGCTAGATAGTTTTTCGGAACTAGACGATATCTCGGCAACTGTACGGAATCTACTCTGGTAACACCTCTCAAGTGTTGACTGAGTTTGTACTCCATGATTTTCAGCAACTTTAGAAGAGAAAATAGAATCCTCGGAATTGCAGGGATATGAGGAACGAAACATATAAGAAGGTGTTGACTTCATCAATAATCATTAAGCGACATAAATTGAGTATTGGGCATCTCATCAATACCATTGAAGATGCTGTTTGCTTCTTGTAGCCATGTTCGAAAGCACAGCAAGATTCTTCATAGCATGACTCTGCTCCACTGTACTGGTTTCCTGCTTAAGAGCACATAACCAAGGAAATAACTTTTTATCTTGCTAGCACGCCAACGATAGACAATAACTCCCCCCCAAAGCTCAAGCTCTCGAAATTAATGAGTGACATAAAGCAGAATCTAGAACATCTATTAATTATACTGGAAAATGCCCTTACCTGCACATTCTCCTTCGGCGATGACATTTTAAACCTTGACTTTTTGGCAGGATATACTTCATTAACTCGCGTATCAATGTATCTTGGTAGTTTAAACACTTCTGATTTCTTAAGACCATCATTCGTGCCGGCATTGTCAGTGGAAGAAAAAAAACTCCTCAATGACTAATCTCATGCTTATAGAATGAAAACTCAAATACGATCGGTGAAACACTTTACTATAGAGAGTCAAGTAAAGGGGCAGCAGATTCATCTACAAGCTCAACAACACTGACGCGCTTCAGTTGCTCTCCCTGTATAGGACATCAATCCAGTCGAGCCACATTAATTATACATCGCCGCCGTCTATTTTCTTTAGTTTTTTCAACAACCAAATTGAAGACACGAGTAACAAAGCAAGAGTAATTGGAATCAGCGTGCCAACTTAAAAAGCTAGTGACTTTTGGAGCCTCAAAACAAAAGTCACATGCTCAAGCAGAGCGAGTCACATCTTAAGCTATGCTGCAGTCCATAGAAATACATCATCGAAAGCAAAGCGGGTCCAGAGAACCAGCTAAGCATCATCTTGTCACCACAGCCACAAAAAAGGAAAAAAAACAAACACTTGGCAAACGAATCGCCACAAATCTCTAGAGGATTACTCTCAGCTCCGACGGAGTCTTTCTTCTCAGCTTCGCGCCAATCTTCGAAGCTCCCCCTCCGCCGCCGCCGCCGCCGCCTCCGGGATGGAACTTATTCGGAGGAAACGAGCCCGGCCCCGCCACCGTTGCCATGCTCGCCCCGGTCGCTCCCACGGTCTCGACCGCGCCTCCAACGAATCGCGCTGCAAGCATCTCGCATCAAAAATCCCGGAAAATGAGGGATGGGACGAAGCGGAACAGCGAGAACGGGAGGGAGCGAGCGAGAGAGAGAGAGAGAGCGCCATACCTTCGCCAGAATCACCTCATTTCCGGGAAGATGACGATCGGCGGCGAGCCCTAGCCCGATTCGATCGAGGGACCGAGCTGCGATCCGGCTTCGACGCGCTCGAGAGATTGATCGAGGTGGAACCGCGAGGACGGACCGCAGATGAAGAGAGAGAGAGAGAAGCAAAAGCAAAAAGTGGAGAGGGAGAAGAGAGAGTTGGAGCCTTGGAGGCTTTTGGTTTTGAACACATTTCGATTTTCCCTCTATATGCCAAGAGTATCCGTGGCTAATTAGCCACGAAAATAAATATAGTAAGAAAAATGCCAAGAGTAGTTATTTCCGTGACTAAATTCGTGACTAATTAGCTATGAAAATAAATATAATAGGAAAAACGCCAAGATTAGTTATTTCCGTGGCTAATTTAGTCACGGATTTAGCCACGGAAATAAATATTGTAGGGAAAATGCCAAGAGTAGTTATTTCCGTGGCTAAATCCGTGACTAATTTAGCCACAGAAATAAATATAATAGGGAAAATGCCTATACTAGTTATTTCCGTGGCTAAATTAGCCACGGATTTAGCTACGAAAATAAATATTGTAGGGAAAATGCCAAGAGTAGTTATTTCCGTGGCTAATTAGCCACGGAAATAAATATAGTAGGGAAAATGCCGCGGGACTTTATTTCCGTGGCTGATTAGCCACGGAAATAAAAATAGTCCGGAACATGTCGTGAGACTTTATTTTCATGGCAAATTCCGTCGCTAATTAGCCACGGATTTAGCTACAAAAATAAATATAGTCGGAAAAGTGCCGTGAGACTTTATTTTCGTGGCTAAATCCGTGACTAATTAGCCACGGATTCAAATCCGTCACTAATTTGCAACGGAATTAGCGACAGCGACGACCTTTCATATTAACAATTCATCAAATAAAAAATTTTCCGACGAATTCAGTTTGTTACCAATTAGCCACAAAATTAGCGACGACATCTTAACAATTCAACAAATAAAAATGTCGCAAATGTCGTCACTAATTTTGTCAATTAGCGACGATCCAAATCCAATGAAAAATAAAATATCGCAATGTCATCGCACGAATAGTATTTGACTTGTCGCCATTTAACGACGACCTATTACATTAACAATAATAACAATAATAATGATCAACAACAAGAATAATAATAACGATAATAATAATAATAATAATAACAACAACAATAATAATAATAACAATTACGACAACAACAACAATAATAATTATGACAACAACAATAAACACATGTCGCAATAATAATAATAATTACACATAATTAGTAAAAAAGATCTAAAAAATTATGATCTTCATCTTCATCTTCATCTTCACCTTTATCTTCACCTTCGTCTTCACTTTCGTTTTCGTCTTGATCTTCATCTTCTTCATGAGCACTATCGTCATCTTCATCCTCTGTCTCAAAATCGGATTCTGCAACACCATCTAAATTTGATTTTTGAATTTCAGTTGAATCCACATCTATCATTGCTCCACATGGATCTCGTAAAATTGAAATGTTATATTCCTCAGTTTCAACCGTGTTACAAACTTCCTCTTGTTGATATGCTATATCTTTCCAGTGTTCCTCAATTTTTCTTCGTGCTTTGGTTTTACATACAACCCACCAATCAGCTTTGTCATGTTTCAAACTAAAAATATGATGCATAATATACTTGAATTGATTGTTGTGCCAATACAAATGATTCATATTTCATATACCTTTTCTAGTGATTTATTTCAACCAAATTAAACTTCGTATGCATCTCATTCCTTTGACGGGGTCAAACTACGTGTACTTAAATAACACAACACGCATTAATGGTCCATGGTACTCTATCTCTATGATTTCATCCAACAAGGCATAAAAATCATCTTTTAAACTGCCACCATTGGATGACCGAACACACACACGACTTTTATTGTGACTTTCCCATTTCATATTCTTGAGTGTGAAAATTATACTCGTTTATGAAATATGCTGGCCAACTTCGTACTCTTGACTTTGGACCCCATAACAGATGATATAGCAATCCTTGCTCTTCAACTTGATCATAATTACTGTGAACCTAAAGTCACACACGTAAAGTCAATAATATATATTTTAATAAATGATGTATAAAATATTAATAACTTGGTTTTGGTCCATAGGTAACTTACATATGTTTTGAACCATGCTGCAAATTGTTCATCACACAAACGGTCAAACTCATTTGGTGGTAGTCCATACTTTGAAGTTTGAAAAATCCTATTAACAAATACCATTTATATATTAGAAAATGTTTTGCAAACAATACATATATTTGCAAATATACACTTACTCGAAGTATGGCTCAGGTCGAGCGGCCTCACCCATGGCCTGTGAGGTCACCTCGCCCATGGCTGGCGAAGTCTCACCGGTTGCCAGTCGCCGAATCGGCAACCGGGGAAGAAGTTAGGAAAAAAAAAGAAACAGAAAAAAAGTCAATAAAAAAAAAAATTGAATCCAGCGATGAATAGTTTTGCAACGAAGAGTCACGAAATTAGCCACGACACTTACCGGCAGAAAAACTTTACCGAGATTGATTTGCGTGCGCGCAGAGAGGTTTATCGAGAGAAACGAAAAAGGGAGAGGGATGGAGAACAACGAAGGGGGATATGAGGAATCAGGAGAGAGAGAGAGAGAAATTAGGGATGGGGGTGGGGGTGGGATATCACAAAAGTTATTTTCCATCACAAATTACGTCACAAATTAGCGACGAATCCGTTTCGTCGCAAATTCTATTGAAAATTAGTGACGGATTATTTTCCGTCGCAAATTAGCTACAAATTTATTTTTTGTCGCAAATTCCGTCGCAAATTAGCAATGAATTTGTTTTTGCGTTGCAAAAAATATTTATCGCTAATTCCATCGCAAATTAGCCACGGAAAATTTTTCGTGGCAAATTCCTTCGTAAATTAGCCACGGAGAAGTTTTCGTCGCAAATTCCGTTGCAAAGTAGTCACGGAAAATTTTTCGTGGCAAATTCCGTCGCTAATTTGCAACGGAAAAATTTTCGTCGCAAAGTAGCCACGGAAAATTGTTTGTGGCAAATTCCGTCACAAATTAGCCACGGAAAATTTTGTCGCAAATTAGCGACGAATATTTTTTCGTCACAAATTAGCGACAAATTTTTTTTCGTTGCAAATTAGCGACGAATAATTTTTCGTCACAAATTTTCCGTGGCTAAATCCTTGTTATTTTTGTAGTGTTACACCTAGTTTTGACATCTAAATTGCCAAAGTCAATCACCAATCTCATGATTTCCGCACAAACAATTTGTGATTTGAGGGATATGGATATGCTTAAACGACAGAGTGCATTGATGTAACAAACAATATGGCCCTTTCTAGTGAACGTGACACAACAACAGGCATGGGCCTTTTGGTTTGTACACAAATCAGAAGTCAATGAGACCCGAAAGTTATTTCCGGATATTAGCTGCATTAACTCTGCTCTTTTCTCCTTGTATAGACCCTTGCATTCCCTGGCATTTGTGGTCCTTGTAGTGCCTGTCTAATTCGACTAAAATGCCCCTCCGATGAACTCGACGATCCTCGGATCATGGGTGAGCCCAAATGGTTCCTTGGCCTGGAGCATATACTTAGGCATTGAGCACGGCCCTCGTTGTACTTGAACCGACTTCCGGGTGGCCTGTTGGAACGGCAGCGGAGCTCCCCTTGGGCTGAGCCATTTCAGCAAGTCATTTCTCTTAGCACCTCCTCCTGTGGCCTCTCCCAACACTAGATTTTGCGGGTAATTTCACGCCCCGTCATGCAGATGGCCATCTTCTCACCACTGGGGAGGACCTCGATGTTGAACATTTGCCAAATCTTGGACCTTCGCCACAAAGGCCACACGGTATTGGTTGGAGTAGGCTACTCTTCGTAGCCAAAGGTCTGGGTCTGGCAATTGAGTTGGTTAATGTAGCTGAGTTGGGTCCATTGCGTATTAGTAGAAGTCAAGATTTTATTAGGAGCTATAAGAGAGTGATAAGTAATGAGAAACGGATGGAGGTGATGATGAAGGAGGAGGAGTTGAATTTGTAGGAGTTTTTTTTTCTTTTTGGGTGCGGCCGAATGATCACATTCCGCCACATTCATTTTTTTTCTAAAGCAACGGAGACTCAACGGTCACTGGCAGTGACCTTTGATAAAAAAAAATTGGGTCGTTTTTAGGCTAGCCTGTTTGGGCCTAAGGGGATGGCCTAGGCCCACCTGGGCCAGAGCCCGACCCGGCACAATGGTCGTGCACGACTGCCCTTTGAAGGGGCCGGACTGTGCAGTTCCTAGGCCGACAAGGTCGAGTGGCCATTACTAGTCACAATACCACAGTAAAGTTTGTGCTATCGGGTCCACTTGGTCAACTTCTTTCTGGGTTGGTTCTGCAATTTTGAAAGTCAAACGAGTGTTTTGGGAGTTCATGTGTGCTAAGACTTTAGAAGGGTTGATGCGTTTATTAAGGCTTCCAGGGAAAGTCTTTGGGGGAAGTGCAAAGAATTTGGGTGAGAGGGTTTTTCTTAAATGTAAGTAGTGTTTTGGTAAAGTGTAAATTAAAAGCGCATTGGGAACAACTTTAGTTTATATACTATTTGAAAAAAGAAAAACTACACTTACAAAGGAATTTTTTCTATTTTCTTTATTAAAAAAAACCTCAAACCTTCATCGGCGGTTCAGATCGGCACCGAATCTAACCTCGCCAACAACATCGTGATGAGGTATTTTTGGAATTTCAAAAGTTTAGTGAGGGCAAAGTTGAAAGAAAAAATATACATTAACATTCCAAAAATGCTTAAAACCCAAAGCTCCTATGAACCTGTCTTTGGGCTAAGGGACTTTAGAATACTTTAAAAATGCAATGCATTTTCCCAAAGTTTTTCAAAAATATTTGTCCAATGGCTTGACTTTTGGCCAAAGTCCTTTAGAGGCCCAAAGGCCTTTTGGCCAAATGGTTGCTAAACGTAGCCATATTATGGGACAAATTTGATTTGCAATTAAAACATTTGGTTGATGAGAACTTGAGAGTCCCGGTCAATTGATACATTATATGATAGGCAAATTAGTACTTCTCATGTAGACTACCATTTCTCCATCGCAACTTCATATGTCATGTTGACATATTAATATAAACACTTAACGAGTGTCAAGGGGTAACCTTTTTATATTTCGTCAATAGTAAGGTGTCCGGTTCTATTTAACGATTGATAAATTCACCACGGT